TAGTAATAGGGAGAAAAGGCCAAAGCTTGAAACTTTGAATCTCTCTCTAGCTTTACCTGATGTGTCTCTCTCTTTAACTGCATCAAATGCTTTGCAAAATTGTGATCCTCCACAACATAGGTCAAGGCCTAGTAGGAGTGTACAGTCTTTGGCTCCATCAATCAATAACACACAAACCACCTGCTCTAATGATTTCACTGCTGCTTCATTGTCGTACTCTTATTCTCTTCCGTTTTCACATAATCCTAGCTGCTCGTTAACACGAAATTCCACCGAGAATTATGAATATTCTGTTGGGAAAGATGATCAAGTTTGGTGTGGTGGTGAGGGTACTAATGGATCCGTGCATAGTCGGTTTAGGCCAATTGGTGATGGAGTTGCTTTGGCCAATCATGGTGGTGCTGGTGGTGTTGGGGGGTTTTCCATGATGCAGGTTAATCGTCAAGTGAATAAGGATTCGTGCAATAGTCTTCATAGAACTACTAGTTCAGATAATCATTCCTTTTTCCCATCTGAATTGCCTGCTAAGCCACGTCTAGATAATCATTTAGGGGATTCGAGGAGGAGGGATTCAGAGAATTTGAGAGTTCTGGAGAGTGTAGATGGAGGGAGATCCCGAAAGATTTCTAGACCGGAGAGAATTCTTCGTGAGATTGTGTCGGAGTCTATTACTGCCATGGCTCTAATAATACAGGAGCTGCCTGATGAAACGCTTGAATTGACCAAAGAATACTTGGGGAATCTTATATCAACGCCGGAGAAGAAGGAAGAATTAATGGGACTTCAAAGCCGGCTTGAGAGGAGATCTGATCTTACCAAGGAGACTCTCTCAAAGTGCCAGAGGGACCAGCTAGAAATTTTAGTTGCAGTGAAGATGGGCCTTAAAAGCTTCTTGTCTGTAAAAATACGTATTCCCATCAAAGAGCTGCTGGAGATTTTCTTTTTTATGAGATGTAGGAATCTGAATTGCAAGAGTTTGCTGCCTGTTGATGACTGTGATTGTAAGATATGCTCAGGAAATAAGGGGTTTTGCAGTTCTTGTATGTGTCCTATCTGCTTGAATTTTGATTGTGCTAGCAATACTTGCAGTTGGGTTGGTTGTGATGTTTGTTCCCATTGGTGCCATGCTGCCTGTGGTATGCAGAGGAATCTTATCAAGCCAGGTTCCAGTTTAAAGGGGCCATCTGGGACTAAAGAAATGCAATTTCACTGCATAGGATGTGGTCATGCTTCAGAAATGTTTGGGTTTGTTAAGGATGTGTTTTTATGCTGTGCAAAGGACTGGGGTCCAGAAACACTGACAAAGGAGCTTGATTGTGTGAGGAAGATTTTTAGGGGCAGTGATGATTCAAAAGGCAAGGATCTGCACATCAAAGCTGATGAGCTGTTAACCCAGCTCCAAAATAAAATGATGTCTGCTACAGATGCATGCAGCCTCATTATTCAGTTCTTTAACTGTAAGTATCTTATGTTCTGTCTATTTTTCTATGCAAACTTATTGTCATTATGAAGCACATCAAACAAATTTCATGAAATACAGATACATTGCATCTTGATAAATGCTTTCCTTGTTTCTTCTCAGTGGCCTTGTTGTTGAATGCATTTGTATTTTTCTTTTGATTACTAAGGATGATTTCTGTTCTAATAAAACAGCAGTTTTTGTAACTTGCATAGATCAAATGACTTAGGATTTCAATTAAACTATTAAGTACTAGTCTTAAAACTTTCACTTATAAATATGTATGCTTTTTATAGTGTTATAATATACAGTAGAAGATATGTGCAGAGAGTCAGAGAACATAGGAATATTATTAATGGCATGTAAGATCAGTACATTAAAATGCCACATTCCTTTTTTTTCCTAATGAGAGGATAAATATCCCTAGCCTTTCATAATCTCATGATGGGTTGAAATCTCTCATTGAATTGGAAGCCTTGTTCGTACTCAGTTTCTCTATGCTTCAGAGGCCATTAGAAAAGCTGAATTATGTGCTGTATTGATGAATTGCATGTTAAAATACCATTTGAATTTGAATCTGTTTATTCAGTCTTTTTGCCACATTTCCAGCATATAAAATCTACTTACCTCTATTTTGATAGATTTAGGCCTTGGCTAATGTAGGAATAACTAAATCACATAGAAGAGGGACCACTTTTCAAAGATTTCAATGTGGTTAAGGTGTCTAATAGGATATGTTTAAGATTTAGTATCTCTAGCTCCTTATATATTCTACGGAATTAATAATTTGTTTAGTGGCTACAGCTCTTCCTTTTCCATGTATATAGTTAACCAGGTAAACTGGATATATTTCAGCTATTAAGCTAATTGTTTTCCAAAAGCTGAGGAAACACAAAAAAGTGCCTCTCATGTCACTGAGCCTCGAGTCATCCTTTGAAATTTAAGATTACTAACATGATTCTGAAACTGCAGTAACATAATTCCTGGTTAAAAAATTGTAAATTAAAAGGTTTGCCTGCTAGTTCTTCCTGACGGCTTGACTTGCCTGTGTAACCTCTGTAAATTTGTGCAACACTAGGTTACTCATGCCTTATGTTGTTTTATTATGCAGTCTAATGAGACATTGGCTCAATTTTAAGATGGAGGCCGAAAAATTAATAATTACCTTTTGCCGGTGCAAGAGTCTTTATAAAGCGAATGAGAAAGTAGTTTACTGTGATTACTAGTCAAACCTGCTAGTTAAGGGCTATTGATGATTGAGTGAACTGATTAGTGAAACAGATTGCATATGCTATTAGAAGAATGCCTAGTTTTTTTTCTTCAAATTTTTTCTTTGATTATGGCTCCCTTCAACTCAGATTGCACCACTCTGTTTTGATTAGGACCGTTCCTGGATTAGATGAATACTTATGGAGCTAGTTATATTGTTGATAATTCCTGTAATTTTATTTGCATGCATTCCTCAATTTATGATATTCATGTCTAAGCATTTTATTTCTCTTCTTCTTTTTCCTTTTCGGCCTGGACAAATAGACACTGATGGTTTGTCAGAGTTTCCTGCATCTGGTGCATGTTCGAAAGACTTAACAACAACTCAAGTTGACCTTCGAAATGATGAATCGTCTGTCACACCAGCTACTGCTTCCCTTCCTCCAAAGCTCGTGTTTTACAGCACAAGCTCTTCAAGTGGACGTGATTTAGTTTCGAATGATGACAGTCAGAAAGATCTCAAAACTGCTCTAATGAAGGACCTAAAAAGTGAAGATGGGTACCGGTTTGGCAGGTTATCAAACAATGATCGATTTGACAGCTTAGAAAGCATGGTAAGGATTAAGGAAGCAGAAGCAATAATGTTTCAAAGCAAGGCAGATGAAGCCCGGAGGGATGCTGATCGTTACATGAGGATGATACGGGCGAAGTCTGAAAAGTTGGAAGAAGAGTATGCTGAGAAGCTATCCAGACTTTGTTTACAGGAGACTGAGGAAAGGCGAAGGAAGAAAGCAGAAGAACTAAAAGTTGTGGAACATTCACATTGTGATTATTACAAAATGAAACTAAGAATGCAAGACGAGATTGCCAGTTTGTTGGAGAGAATGGAAGCCACAAAGCAGCATTGGGTTTAACTTTTTTTTCTTTGCTTTTTTTTTTTTGGTTAACAATTAAGCTAAAAGTGTGTAGTTTCTTTAAGTTTTTAACCTTCTGGATTCTGCTTGTTCCTTAAAATCAGAAATGAATGATTTCTCAGTTGTTAAAATTTTTTAATTTTCAACCTTACGACATTTCTTAGTGATAAATTTCAGTCAGTGAGATTTCTCTTGGAGTCTACAGAGTCAAAATTACACAATAATATCCAAAATGCCAATGTGATAGCTTGAATTGGCAGGTTCACTTCGGTAGTGTCGACATAAATTGGTAGGTGTAGGTATACCTGGGGATCATGTGGCTGACAAAAACAGTAGAGGCCTTGGTATTTCAGGCAGAATCCCAATCAGACAATCTGCCATGTCTCCAGGCTTTCGAGTTTCAAACCAAACGAAGTTTTGGACAGATCTCTGCTAACCTTTGTGGATAGCGATGTTGACGATGGTGGTAGTTGAAGGACATGATTGCCAAATATAATAAATTTTATGCTTGTTGCTATCATGATATAGAATTGATTAAGTTTGGTATGGCAAAAGAAATTGTTCCCCATATATGCTAGTGTATAATATTTTAGATTTTAGATATGCCGTAGTCCAAAGAGAAAAATGACAAGTGATAGGCACCGTTGAAATTGTTCTCCAGAAAATTTTTTATGGATGGATTGGAGAATAAAGGTGAATATGGTAATGCGCCACCAACGGTCATGCCCACAAAATATCCTAGGGACCATTGAAATTTTTAATTGCAAATGCCATAAGATCACGGGTTCCTTGTAGTTTGTACCTTGTACAACTGGTTTTCCAGTGTGGAGTTCCACTTTGACATTTGATGTCAAGGGCCTACAGCTACATGACATGCGATCACGTTTGTAATCCAAAGAATCCTTCATAAGCCGTAAGATTTATTCCTTCTGTTTTCAATGTTTGATTCATGACATTGTTTGTCATTCGATTGTGCAATGTGTTTGTGATACTGACTCTTTCACCTATAGAAAAAAATGATTCATTTTTATTTGGACCTATTTCAATTATGATATTCACATTAAAAAAAATTTAATAAAATCGGATGATTTATTTATTCAACTTGAAAAACATCTATTAAAAAAAAACCTTTATTTATAAATTTAAGATCATATTTTCTTTTGGACATGAAATCCGTAACATTTCATATGAACATAAATGAAATCAGAAATCATAGAACCACTTATGATTTCATATTGAACAGAAAGTTCATTACAACTTTCTTCTACTATAGTCCTTGAAAATATTTTTTGGTTTCATTATTTTATAGAAAATTATCCATTAATTGAAAGTATTAAGTCTTCAATAATTTAATGACAAAAAGTGGCATCAGTTTTTCAAGAATTTTATCCATGCAGCTAAGATCTGAATTACTTACATTAATAACCTCGTGGCAGGACAACACTAAGGCCAACAGCAACAGCAAATAGAATGAGCAAAAATCCAGTAAAGTTGACAATCAGTGCTTCTTGGCCGCGAAATAGGCCTAGAAAAAGGAATTCCTCTAACAATCCCATCTCTGCTGTGCAAATTGCTAAAAAGAAAATAACTAAGCCACCAAAAATGTGCCATGGCGCATATGCTGCTCTTGAATATGATTCTACCCCAGGGAAGACAAAGGAGAAGAAACCAAGCAAAAACTGCAACCAAAATAAAAGAGAGAGAGAGAGAGAGATATTAGGACATTGTTTCAAATTTCTGATTAAATATTTGCCAAAAACAATAAGATTTAATTGGTACCTGCAAACCAAATAAGCAGATGGCAATCATGCCTAGCCAAGAATGTAAGGTAACCATATCAGGGATGTTTAACTCATCATTGAATTTGAAAATTGCAACAATTCCAAAGATCCCGCAACCAAGAGCAATGGCTTGCAATGTGAGATGAACTGCTCTTTGCACGTGTCTTCCAACAGGGATTGCCTTGTATGCCATGATTGCTGGTTTAGATGGTATTCAGTTAGAAACTTAGAATCCTATATTATTGGTGCAGATCACCCCATAGACATGCACTAAAATTTCATAACTATTTCATAAATTTCATTTCTATGGGATTTCCTTGTACTTCCATAAAAACCATAAAAAAAAACCCAGCTTCTCAAAATTGTGATTATGAGCTCTATGTTGATGCCAAAAACAAGAAAAAAAAAAAGATTTTCCCACTAGATTATGCTATTATATAAAATGCTACTAAAAGTTATTACGCTTTTACTCACCTTCTCCTGCTATTAATATGAATCCAATCACCATTAGAAATGGATGCAGCTGCAAATGGGAGGGAAACAAAGTGAAAACCAGAATCTCTTTATAGTAAGCTGAAAGAGACTAATATGTATTCATAATGCATAGAATCAAATTTAATCCTTACAAGAATATTTCTTCCATGGATCATATAAAAACGAAGATATGAACAAGTCCAATAGAAAAATGGGATATTTTAGTTTAACCTATCGGTTTTGTTCTAATATATATTGATTTCATAAATACCGTGGTGAATCTGTTGTTGAAGGTAAAGATTACAGAATTACAGAAAGAGATGGATTCTTAATAAAGGCAACTCACATTGAAAATCTTAAATTTATTAGCAGATTCAAAAGCCAGGCCTTCCCGGAACGTCAGTAGCCAAACCAGCACAAGGGTTGCCACTGCTATAAATAACAAATGCCCAAATACTGTAACTGGGGTTGCAGAAACTTTATAGCTTCCACTCCTGACAGCCATTGCATCCGTAGAATGAAAGTTGAGAGCTCAGTAGTGATCAGTTCTATTATATAACATTCTAGCAACAGACATGGCCTTGAAAATATTTGTCATTAACAAAGACAGCTTTTTGTTTTCCAAACGGAAGATACTACCAAAGTTGGTATTTGGTAAAAACCGTCCTGCCGGCTAATTCAATGGTGGCAAGTCCAATAATATTGGAGAATATTGATTTGGTCAGTAATATGGCTAATCACATTTGCCCGTGCTGCGGATTAAACTATATTTCAGACTTTGAGATTACATGGTTTCGATGAACAATCATTCGAAGAATTCAGTAAGACTTGCAAATGATTGTTTGTTTCAGGTTTGGGCGTATTGCGGAGAATATATAAGCAGTGTTTGGTGCCATAAGAAAAGCCAAGGTTGTGCCTATCAGAAAGTTATTAATGACTTAATTCATCAATTACTTAAACTTGTATGATGAGGCAAACTCTTACTGATTTCCTGCTTTTAAATTAAAAAAAATTATATTAATTTGGGAAGCTTCAAGCTAGTGCATCAATTAAATTGTAGAACCCGGCTTAGTTTCGTTTTGTATAGTCATTTTTTGGAAATGACACTGCATAAGTATGAAATCGGAATCTTAACACTGAGCAAATTTTTTTTGTCATGAAACTACGGCTTATTTTTTATAAAAAAATTAAATTGTATAATTGAAAAGGATTTGTTTTGTAATAAATTATGATATATGAATTACAGCATCAATCCAGTGCAAATTCACACAAAAAATAACCAAAAAGAGAGAATCAAAGTGAAAACCACACACAAACAATAAAACAACAAGATGATTAATATTAAAATCAGACATATCGTGCAAGAGCAACACTGAGATCAACAAATATGCCAAATAAGAGGATAGATAGTCCCAGGAAATTGAGCAAACGAGCTTCACGGCTGTGGCTTAGTTGCATGAAGGTAGCCTTCTCCATCAAGCCAGTGAGAGCTGCAGCTATCGACATGTATAGCAATGTCCTGCCACCACAAATGTGCCAGGGAAGCAAGGTTGCCCTAGTCGTCTGTGTTTGTGTAAACATAAATGTGAACAGCCCTACAACCCACTGCAACAGCAAGTTTTAAAATCAAATTAAAACAATTTCAGCTTAATTACTGTAACCAAATAAAAAAGAAGACAAATAAAATGTAACAACATCTTATAAAAAGGTTGAAAATTAAAGGGCAGTAGCTGAATTGCATGAAAATTGTAGGAAAGCTACTGGAATTTTTTGGGTTTTTTGTTTAACCTGCAATGCAAACAAGGAAATAGTGGCGATGCCAATCCATGAATGCAAACTGTAAACATCTTCTATGCTTTGCATATCATGGAACTTGAAAACTGCACAAATCCCAACCACCCCAAGCACAAAAGCTCCAAGCTGAAGTATCATATGTGCTACCTTCTGCACAAAATGTTCTGCTTTTACTGTCTTGTACACCATCATTGCTGCATGTTTTTATGTTCAAAGGAAATTAGAAAAATGTTTCAAAAATTTGATTGATTTTCATTAATTGCCAATACCTTCACCAGACAGAAATATGAATCCACAGAACATCAGAAATGGGTGAACCTGCCAAGGCAAAGAACAATATTAATTTAACATTAAAAAATGTACTAAAATAAGCTTGAAATCATAACAAAGAACATATATAACAAGCTTAAAATAAGCTTTCTTACATTAAAAACACGATAACCATCGTAAGAATCATAATCGATACCGCCACGATAATGCAGTAACCAAACCAGCATGAGGATGAAAGCCAAGATCCCAAACAAGTGAGCCAATATTGTCAGACGAGAGGCTGAACTTCGGTAAGGTCTGTGCGTGACTTCTAGGTGGGTGGATTGCATGGTGATGATGAACTGAATGAGTTGTTCGATGACAGAACAGAGGAAGTGGTTTGCACTTAAATGTGTAATAATTAAATTAAACTGATCATCAGCATAAAAACCTTTTCAAAAAGAACATACCAAAGGGAGGAATTTAGGCCTTTTGGATTGCTTGTCGGTTGGTTTTGGTACTTCTCTGTGGGAAAACTTTGAGCTTTGGCAAAGCATCATCAGTATTAATATTAGTATACCTACTAGAAGAGCTATCCAATTCTTTTGTACAAACGAAAATTACAATTAAAGGTTTTCATTGATATTAAGTAAATGTCAAAATCTCAAAATTGCTCATAGTTCATATTACTGGAATTGGATCGATCACGCCATTTACATAGAAGTGTGATAATTTTATTACTTTTAGTGAATGCCTTAGACGCAATTTTTTTTTTATTTATAAAATTGTGAAAATCTTAGGAAAACCTTCAAAGGACTTCAACATAAAAGATTTTAACGTATGCGTAGCGTATGCTTACATAGTTACATTACATACGAGTATAGGACACATAGTAAACTGAAGTATGGTCTGTTAGAACCATGCTGTTATTAGCTATGGACACATATAACCAACAAAATATTAAGCAAAAAGAGCATTTAAACAAAAATAAAATAAAATAATAGCTAACAGAATATTAATTTATAGTTAAAACAGTTGTATAATTATAAAGATATGATTGACTTCATTTGCAAAATTAATAATGTTAGAATTAAAAAAAGAAAAAGAAATGGAGTTAGGCAGGCTCTCTTATCCAAGTAAAGAAGGGAAAAATCTTAGATGAATTCTTTTAAGTGAAATTCATAAAGATTTTAATATAAACGATTTAATTAAAATTTTAATAAAAATTTTAAATCGATAAATTGATATAAAGTTCAATGAAAAAATCAATAATATATATAATAATTATTAAAATTTTTGTTTATAATTCAAATCTAATCATTATTTATTCAAAAGTAAAAATTCAGTCAAAATTTTTATTAAAAATAACTATTGACAATATATAAAAATTTTATTAAATTTTTTCAAATTTCATGTAATTGATATATTTAATAAGATCTTTCAATCTATCAACTTTAATCTTCAATTCTAATTCATCTTTAATCATTTTTTAATTAAAAACTTAATGAATTTCACCCAAAAAAAACCTTCTATCTAAATTTTCTGGTACAGAAGATTGTAATAACCAAAAACTATATATGAACAATTTCTGACATTGAGGACTCACACTGAAGCCTGGACCAGCCCAGCTCACTCAATGCCTCAAAAAATGGCCCATACTAAAATTTCATTTATTACTCCCTAGATAATTTGCAACTTGTCCTTGCTTGTTTGTCCATACTAAATCAACTGGGGTCTGGGTTTATTTGATAAATCTACGGGTAAAGTGAAGAAGAAACCTTTCATTTTTTTTTAATATAACAAGATTAGGGTTCTATCTTAACAATTGCAATTTTTTTTTTTTCAATTCTTTAAGGCATTAACCTCCTTTGTACCTCAAAAATGTCTAATTATTTGTTTGATATAAAAAATTTTAACTGTTAAATATATATATATATATAATAATATTCTCAATCATTATGAGAAAGATATTGAATCAATTAAAAATTTTATATGCACGATAGATATAATTATATTGTTATATTTATTAAAAATATTAATTATATATCTAAATTCCGAAAATATATAATTTGATCCATATATATAATTATATTATCAAAATTTTTATAAAAAAATGATATAATTAAATGAGAAATACATGGAAGGTTTAACATTACGTATGGGATACGTAATGTGGATATTAAGGCAAGATTATCAACAAAACAATCTTATTACTCTAATTGCATAATAGGAAAATGGAAAATTATTTATCATAATTATTAAAATTTCAATTCAATAAGGTTCCATATATATAAACAAATCATATTATCAAAATCATTACAAAAATATATAACTAAATGGGAAATGAATGGAGGGTTTTACTTGACGTATGGGATGCCAACGATGAGATTGTCAACGGAACTAGTAGCTTCATCTATCATTCAAGGTCTGAGAACATGGATAAGAGCTTGGTTTAATGGAAATTGAACTCCATTCTTATTCAAATATCATGCAAATGCTTCAAACTTTTACACCTATGAATAAGATGCTAGCTTTCACATAGTTTATTTAAATTATTTATATCTTAGCCCAAAATTGACAAATATCTTATTCTTCGCAAAGTAAAAATTTATAATTATTATAAAATTTAGTTTTAATGATAAGAAGCAAGTCGTAATAAAAAAATTTTCAACTCAAAAAGCAGGTTTGATTTTTTTAAAAAATAAATTATGAAAGGTAAATCTTAATTAGAGGTGTTTATGATCAAGCTTACTTTAAGTCTATATCAACATCTTACATATTTGCTCAAACTCGACTACAGATAGAACTTCAAATTTTATCCATTAAATTATTAAATGGAATTTTGAGAATAATCCAAATATTTTAAAAAATTTTAGAAAGTAAAAACATGAATTTTTATTTAATCTTTAATAATTTTTGTATTAAATTTTAAAACAATGGCTAATTTTGTATATTTTTAATGTTTATATTACAATATTATATATATATATTTTTTATGTAATATGTATTTTTGAATTAAAAAAATGAAAAATCTGATTCAGAGACTATTGGAATTAAGACTTGATCTATTTGGGTCTCATTTTTTCTTAAGCCCATTTAACAAATTTAATAGTTTTGTTGAGCCTTTATAAATGAGCAGGCCTTCAAATTTAAACGAACAACCCGACCCACAAACGAAACTCGGAAACCCAAATATACATGTCCAAGATTAGCCCAAAAACCCAAAGTCAGCCGAAAAGAAAATATAAATATATTTGTTCACACTCTTGGAAAGACCAAAATCACCCTTTAAAATGAAATAGTGTATTCGATCACGGTTCCATGATCGATCCATACTAGCAAAAAAATTGTAAATCTCAAAACTCAAAGCACTCTATAGTTTCAAATATAATATAAAAAAATATAATTTAAAATTATAATAAAAATTATAAATAAATTTAATAAAATTATAAAAATATATTTTGTATTCGAATGACACGAATTATATTATAATACATAATTTTTATAAAAATATAACATAATACAAAAATTGCCGGTCTAAATTTTAGCCACCGTTTCAAGCAGACACATGCGTGATCAATAAGCCATTTTTGTTCACTGTCACTCTCCGTCTCCTACACGAGAAAGTCGTCTCTTTTTTTCTTCAACCCCAACTTCCCAAGATACACCATAATCCAAACCCTAGATCTCTTTATCTGTTTTTATTTGTTTATTTATTTATTTGCTTTTGACACTCCCCATCTTCACGTCACTCTTTTGTTTCACTGTATCCTCACACGGACATCACACAACAAAAGCAAAGACCCATATTCCAGATCTGACTAAACGGGACCAACCTCCATTTTCCATTTGTTGCTCCTCAGCTACCCATTTCTTTTCTCATTGTAAATCTTTTATTAGATCGGCTTAGACCTAGAAAAGAAAGAAGATAAAAACCCAGTTGTTCATTTTTTTTCACGGAATTGTATCTTGTTTAAAGTTGAATTCTTTTGAGTTAAAAGAATTTTGTTTGTGATTTTTGCGGTTGGATGTTGTGGGATTTAAATTAATTAGATCTGGATTTGGGGTATTTTAATTTGTATATGTTGGTTTAGCTGTTTGGTTTTTTTTTTTTTGGATTGGTGTTAGGGAATTTTTCTCAATGGCAATGCCATCGGGAAATTTAATTTTATCAGATAAAATGCAGTTTCCTGCTTCTGAAGCTGCAGCAGCTGGCGGTGCTGCTGGGGCCGTTGCTGGCGGTGGAGGTGCAGGAGGAGGAGAGATCCACCAGCACCATCCCTGGCAATGGTTCCCCGATGAGCGTGATGGCGTTATCTATTGGCTGCGGGGGGAATTTGCTGCAGCCAATGCTATGATTGACTCCCTTTGTCATCATTTGTGTGAGATAGGGGACTTTGGGGAGTATGAAGCCGTCATAAGTTGCATTCAACAAAGGAGATGTAATTGGAGCCCCGTGCTTCATATGCAGCAGTACTTTTCAGTTGCTGAGGTTTCCTACGCGCTTCAACAGGTAGCGTGGAGACGTAGACAAAGGCACTATGATCAAGGTAAAGTTGGGGGAAAAGAGTTTAAAAGATCTGGCATTGGGTTTAAGGGCCACAGGGTAGATGTGGCTAAAGAAGTGCAGAATTCTGGGGTGGATGGTGATGGGAATTCGACTGTCACCACAGTTTCAGAGAGAAATGAGAGAGGGAGTGAGAAGCGTGAGGAAGTTAAATCGGGTGGTGAAGTAGGGAAGGTGGATGATAAGGGCTCAGCTGTCACAGAGGATAAAAAAGGTAACTACTTGGTTCATGTTTCTTTTTTTATATGTTTTCCTTACATTGTGGTGAAGGTTGAATTTGTCGGTGAATGATACCTCGTATTCTCTAGCTTTGTTATGTTTGGTTATTGGTTTGTGACGGAGATGATCGAAATTTATATTTCTAAAGGATTTTGGGTGTTGATATTGTTGACTAAGGAACTATTTACTTGCTTAAAAAGCATGGTGTTGCTATATATGCTTCTTTCTTGGATTAGGCTTCTTATCAGAAACAAGAAAGTAGCCTTTTGTTGTTTGGTAAAATTTCTATTAGGTTTGTAGGATTATAAAGCAAGCTTTCTTATTTGGAAATTGCTGTCACATTCTCTGTTTCCCACGTTGACCTGAATATGCATATACCTACCTAATCAACAGTTGCACTATTTTTGCTAGTAATTGTCTGAAACTGGGGTTATGTATAATTAAAGGCAGATATTTTCTTCATCTGAGAGTGGTATAGTTGTAAATGGATGAAAATAAAATCAAAGGCATGCATTTAATAACTTATATACAATCTTGGAGAGGTTACAATTCACATACTTTATTACCAAATTTGTTATTAGTTTTATGTGCACATATTGGAATGTAACTGATGTGATAAATAACTTCCAGTTTCATATTGTGCTAAGTATTTGTTTTACATACTTTTATCTTCAAATATATCCCAATAGAGGCTGGCTAAATTTCATTAGAACTGTGTTTTGGCATGGGGCATTTTTATATCAGTGCATAAGGCAATCATTCTGGTTTTAACTTTAACTCCTAGGGATTTTTCATTTGTTCTTAATGAAGGTTCTTTTGATACATTTTCGAGCTTTTCTTAGCCACACCACATAGGATGATAATTACTTAATGTTTTTAAAAAGTTAATTGACACCCCTTAATTGTAATTATGTATTGTACTTGACAATCTATGTTGTGAGATTTACATTCCTTTTTTGTTGGGCTTTGAATGCAGATATTGGTTCTAAACCTCATGCTGATAGCAGCTTAAAAAAGTCAGGGAGTTCAAAGGGAACTACACCTGGAAATACAGAACCTGGAAATGAGGATGTAAATGGTGGATGCACATCGATCCATAAAGGTACATCCTTTTACTTTGGTGACGGGTTACTTTTAGCTCTTAGAAGGTTCTGAAGTTGGTAGCTGCACTATTTATGAGTAGCAGCTGCTGTACATTTAATTTTCACTGCAATCATTTTTCTTTTCTTTTTTTTGACTAAGATTTGAACTTATCCAAATTTATGTACTTATCTATTTTTGCAAATATCCTCTCTTTTCTATTTAGCTAGGAAGGGTGAGAATAAACTGGGTAGGGTATTTAGTGGTTGCAACTTTGATTCAACTCCTGCACGATACGTTGAACAATTGAACTCAGACATTTCACTCTCTTTGAATAATTTCTTAGAGTTTAAATTTTAGTTTCATTCTGTTTTGTTATATTAATACTTTTTATTTATGATCTTTTAGAGAATGATTTACATTCCTCCCGAAATCAGAATGAAAAGCAGAATCTGTATACAGCTCCTAAAACTTTTGTTGGTAATGAGATGTTTGACAGAAAGATGGTAATTCTTTATAACCTTTGTGATGATATTTCTTGAAATTCTGGATGAACTGATAGCTTCTTGCTTCTTTTTCCCCCTATTCTGTTTCTACTTCTTATAAGCCGATATTTTTATTTTAAGGTTAACGTGGTGGATGGGCTAAAATTGTATGAAGAACTGTTTGATGAGAAGGAAGTTTCAAATCTTGTCTCATTGGTAAATGATTTAAGGGCCGCAGGAAAAAGGGGACAATTTCAAGGCAAGTTCTCTTAGAAGCTCCATTCTTTTTTCTGGTCCTGCAAGAAGGAAGTAATTCTTTCCAAATTGCATTCGATCCTTGGAAGCTTTGAGTTGTTTCCTTGGTTAATTTATCTATAGAGTCACTTTCTCATATTTCTGAAGTGAGAAGAACAGTGAAAAGAAATAGGAATGATCATTGCACATAGAAGAGTGCTGATTTAGTTTTATGATATACACTTTTACTTATTTACCTATTTAGCTTGGAAGAATTTCTCAGCTGTTTTTCAGTTCGACTTGTGCTTTAAATTCATGCCATGGACATTGCCATGGTCATGAACATATATGTGGTTGGAAAAACGGGGCTCATCGTTTGTTGAAGCTGCATAGTTTAGCGTGCTTGCTTGGCCTATCCTATTGGCAAGTCTTCATCTGCTGACTTTTATGAATTTGTCACAAGCTTGTAATTAAGTACTGGACCGTCGTCATAGAATATAGGTCTGATAGAGCTAGACGGGGATTAGGTCAATGTCATGTCATGCAGTTTACAATGATGGTACAACGACCTTCTTTTCTAACTCACTTTTTCTGTGTCAATGTAAATCTAGGGTTCTATCTGTTTATTTAATTTTAATCGTACATGCTTGCACTGAGCATGCTACTACCTTTTTATTGGGTAGAAATGGGGATTTTGTTCTATGTTGGCTCCATTGTTGCATTTAGGTTTTCTCTATTATAACTTTTTCAAATGAGCTTAATATTAACTTCCTGGGATGAATATGATTTCTATATTGTTTATTACAACAATGGGACAAAAGATCATATGATTGTTTTTTCTTATGACTTTCAAATGAGCTTAATATTAGCTTGGTTTTTGTATCAGAAAGCTAATTTTTCTAGATTTATTTGTGATTGTTTCTACTCTTTAACTGCTATCATTGTTTATGTTTTTGAAGTGATTTGGCATGTTAAATATTATTATTGTTTCACTTGGGTGATAAATTCTGATTTTTTTTTGTCAGCTAGACAAATATAGTGAAACAAAAAGTCTGTATGGAGGCCAAACCCTCTAATTATAAGAGATATGGGCATAATTAATTACTTTTCTTGATAATACTGCTTTCTGCCTGCATTTAAATTGACTGATGCATGTTTGTTTTTTTGTATAAATCTTGGCCTGGAACTTAGCTCTGCAATTTTGGGCCCCTGTATTCTTATAAATACCATCTAGGGGAGGAAAGGTTTGTGTTCAACAGAAAGCTCTTGGGCTGTCACATTGGTTACCCGTATAAAACTGGGTTTGACTCTTACCCTCATATGGTTGGAGTGATTTTGAGCTGGTTAGCTTGCTTTCCCTTCTTACTATGGCGCAACTGCTTGGACCTAATCATGTGTTATTCCAACCATACCAAACAGGCACTCAAAATCAAGTTATGTTATACCATGAGATTAGCCAAACAAAAAAGTGTATTACAAAAGGGTAAGTGTAAGAATATTGGAAAAGAAAACCAAGAAAATCAAGCAGAAATTTATGAAAATATTAGCGAGATACAGTTTTTCTTTTACTTCCATGTTTATGTTTGCTTTATCCAGTAGTGAAAATATGTTATCTTCTAAGATGGAAATCATATGTTCAAATTCAGGGAGTGGGTATCCTTCTGGTGGAAATCAATTGTATGTCTGTTTTTCTTCAGAGCTAGAAGAGGTTTTTCTTTCCTTTTCGGTGGAAATCAATGGTTGATACCTGATCAAATATGTTAAAACTAGATATGAACTGCCATTTAATCAGTCCAGTCGTTATTAAAAGCAGCTTGTACTGCCTGCTTATGTGAATATCAAGGTAGCCAGGTCTCTATCCATTGTTGCATAAAAGTGCCAGTGCTTTTTTAGCTCGAGTGCACTGGAACACTGATAGAAAGAACTAACTTTTTTGTGGTCCAGTGCAGCTAAACACCGATGATTTGATCTCAGTTTTTTCCTTTCTCATTTCCTTTAATTACTTTTCCTCATTATTTTGCATCCTTAAAATCCCTTCTTGAGTTTTGCTTTAAACTTCTAGAAGTTTTCATTTAATCTTCATTCTTCAACTCTTTGCAATTTCCTCAATTTTTCTGTGCTATGACTTTTTCCCCCTATTTTGCAATCTTATTTTCTTATCTTTTCATTTGCTTGTAAATTCATTTTGAATATATTTTTGTGGAGATCATTCGAGTGAGATCGAATGATTGCATTCAATTTATATAAAACATAGAGGGAAAAAATGAAAATAAATGATTTTTTTATCCTTGAACGTTGATCTACTGCCTTCTACTGTGCCCCCCCTTTGCTGGTCAGTCTCAAAGCTGGGTTGAGAATATTGATTGAATTAACCGGGTAATAAGGACATAATGTAAAAGTTTCATTATTATTTTTTAGAGAAGATGCTTGTATGGAAAAATGATGTATTAAATTAGTGTTGGAGCACATAAACATTTACCAAGTCAATTTGGCACATGTTAGTGTTAGATAATTCTTTTCAGCATTTAAAAGCAAATCTTATAAATATACATTAATGTATACCTCCTAGGTTATTTTGTTTGTCATTAATCTATATGTTAAATTGTTAACATCCCAAATAGCTTAAATGATCATTTTAGGACCGAGAATTTCCTTACCACGTTGCTGGTGCGCTCCTATGATCCAATTCCAGTCCTAACCTTTGTCCATTCATTTGTCCATTCCATTTTGTCCACTCCTTTTCTGAATATTTTTGCTTTCAGCTGAATCATAATCATAGTTGATAGGCTTGCAGCATCTTTTGCAACTACTGTTTATAGTTTTATCTATCATGCATCTGTTTCTGGGTGAAGCTGGTACCCAAGAATGCATTGGGGACCATTGTGGCAATGGTTGAAGGTGCTAGTATTTCTTTTATTGTCATTGTTTTTTTTTTTTTTTTAAATTTCTGATTTTATCTGTGTACCATGGCTGAATTCTGTATTGTGTTGGAGGAACAGATAATTCTGCTCATGCTTAAGCTGATTCTGTTCTCTTAATTGCTGATCAATCTTTGAATAATTTTGTTTCAGTCTGGTAGTGCATTTTCTTGGATGCTGAATATTTCTGTAAAAGTACTATCATTGTATTCAAATATCAGTTATAGCTGAATTGCTATGTGACAATTTACATGAAGCAGGTCAGACATACGTCGCTTCAAAAAAACCCATGAAAGGACATGGCAGAGAGATGATTCAATTGGGCCTTCCAATTGCAGATGCACCTCTAGATGATGAAACTGCTGCAGGGACTTCCAAAGGCATGTTTCTTTGATGAGCCTTCCCCTCCTTGACTTCTTCCCATACCAATCCACCCACCCACCCACCTAAACACACATGCACACAGAAAGTAATGAAATATATGTTTAATTTTTGCGTGATAAATACTTTCAAGAAATTTTAATTCCTTTCTAATTTGATTGAGCTTTAGCAGATCGGAGAGTAGAAGCCATTCCTGCCTTGCTGCAAGATGCTATTGAACTGTTGGTTGACTTACAAGTTATAACTGCAAAGCCAGACTCTTGCATCATTGATTTCTATAATGAGGTAGGTAAAGATGGTTCTTCTGGTGGTTCTGTATAAAATAAGCTTAAGGCTTATGGTGGTTTTTTTTCCTAGGGGGATCATTCACAGCCTCGCATGTCACCACCTTGGTTTGGAAAGCCTGTTTGCATCATGTTCTTGACTGAGTGCGATATTACTTTTGGAAGGGTAATTGCATTTGATTATCCTGGGGACTTTAGAGGTTCTCTAAAGCTTTCTCTTGCACCTGGGTAATTATTTTACTCTTTCTCTTGATCCTACCACATTCACAACCCTTCAATGTGCTTGGAGAATGATGCATGTTTAAAATTGAATGATATCTATATATTTCCAGATTACTAACTTTGAGCAATTTAACTGTTTAAGTCAATCCTAAAAAAAAAAAAACTGGTAATAATGCTTTTAGGGTATAGACTATATAGTCCCCACATCTATTAGAATAGTGATGACTAATAAAAGTTAGTCTTTCATAGCATTGCTTCCTCATTGAGTCCAATTGGATTCTCTTCTTTTGTGTCATATTCCTGAGATCGTATGTTTCATAACTATCATGCAGATCTCTGCTTGTGATGCAAGGAAAATCAGCCGATTTTGCCAAATATGCACTTCCTTCCGTCCGAAAGCAACGAATACTTGTTACATTTACCAAGTATCAACCAAAGAAATCCATAACTGACAACCAGAGGCTTTCTTCACCTTCAGTTTCTCAGTCTTCACAATGGGGTCCACCACCTAGTAGATCACTTAATAATTTTCGTCATTCTGCTGGTCCCAAGCATTATGCAGCAATACCAACAACTGGCGTACTGCCAGCCCCACCAATTCGCCCACAAATTCCTCCTCCCAATGGTGTTCAAACGTTATTTGTCCCCACTCCGGTTGCTCCTGCAATACCTTTTCCCGCTCCAGTTCCCATTCCACCTGGTTCAACTGGTTGGCCAGCTGCTCCTCCACCTCGTTTGCCTGTTCCTGGCACTGGAGTTTTCCTGCCTCCACCAGGCTCTGGTAATTCATCACCTCAACAGTTGTCAACTACTGCAACTGAACTCAATATTCCTGTGGAGACAACTTCACTGGAAAAAGAGAATGGTTCTGGGAAACCCAATCATCATACAACTTCTCCTAAGGGGAGGTTGGATGGAAAATCTCCAAAGCCAGACTGCGATGGAAGTGTAGATGGAACTGGCAATGGGAGAGCTGTGATAAAGGAAGAACAACAATGTGCTGACAATAGTGTCAACCAGACCTGCTAGTGCAGTTTAGAGAGAGAGAGAGAGAGAGAGAGAGAGAGAGAGAGAGAGAGAATTTCTCGAAGGAAAGGAGGTAGGCTGCGAACAGCAATGAGTTTAAAGCAAATGTAAAGAGCGGCAACATTCGAGACTTTTGACATTTCATACCAGTAGGAGGGGAACAAAGGGGAGGGAGGAATTCCTCGGTTCTCTCTGCAATCCTTCATGTTCACTTTTCCTTTTTTTTGTTGTCTTGTGACTCTCACGCTAGGTGAAAAACTCCATTAATTTAACTTTGGTTCTTATTACTGTCTAGTTTTACAAGTTTTATTCTTACTGTCTAGTTTTACAAGTTTTATTCTTACAAACTTAGTTGAGCTGCTGCTGTGCGCTACCTGCTTAATCTAGGTGAAATACCTTGATTCAGAGCCTTTCCCTAGAGATTAGTACTTACAAAATTACCTTCATTTCTCTTGTACAACACCTGAAGGACTTATCTCACACACCATTAAAGCAAATATTATCATATTTGGTCGTTGATTTTTTTTTCTCTTGTTTTTTAATTCTCTTCTTGTTTGAACTGACTTTTATAATAGCATGAGCACCAATCTGAATTTATTCAACCCTGTCAATTCCAAACTATCGATTAGACTGTAAAATCTGTGCAAGGGAAAGTAGCAGGTTTGCCACAGAAAATGACAGACACTTGAAAATCACGCTGAAGAGGAAATCGTGAAGTTCCAACTCCCAACTTCAATTAGAAGCAGTTGACTTCTAGATTTTGAATGCTCATTATCGCTAAGCCAAATAAATGAAAATGAACATTATTTTAGCAAATCAGATTGAGGACGACCCTTTTGGTCTTGGTGCTATATTTTACATTTGAAAAGCAACGCCTCCAACAAAATCTAATTTCAACGCCACTTACCTTTCTCTTCCAAGATTGATGAGTAAAAACTAGGAGGAATCAAGTCAAGAGCCAAGGAGTTCCTTTTTTTTTGGGGGGGGGGGGGGGGGTGGAGAGAAATCAAACTTTCATTGGAGGAACTATTGTATTCAGAGGCAATTATTCTCTATACATATTAGTCTTTTTTTGCACACCTATATAATGACTATTATATTTCATTGTCACCCCACCGCCTGAAATTGCAGCACTTGAAGATCAGTAAGCAATTTATCTACAACAACCTTCTGATTTATACATTTAGTGAATTTCTCTAACTAAGCAGATGAATACTGCTCTTTGGAGATATTCCATGCATGCAAAACTCTGCCAAAAATATCATAGAAGGCGATATAAACACTTTTTTGAGTTATTTGCATTGACATAAATCCTTGCCCATCATAGTAGAACTTGAGTTCTTCTGGATCCCACGGGTGTATTTGACCTTTCCATGCCTTTGAGCCACCACCAGTAGTTAAATATTGAATTTGACTGCATTTATATATGTTATTTCGGATGCTCGTATCTCATATAAAATCTCAAAAAATGTATGAAAATTCTACCTGTTACTTTCAATGATGTGTTCCAAGCAGTGATCGTGGCCGTTAATGTACATGTCTACAGTATTTGCCTGAGAAAAAAAGGGTATAATTAATTTCCATTATAAACATAAGCAAACTGAAAATGCAATTGATATATTTTTGTTGGTCGTTTAGATTATTACTTCAAGGATTGGTACAAGTTGTTCAACCAGCTCTTCGGTGACACCATGGTTTCCTGCGCTTTTGATTGTATGGTGTCCAACCACTATCTTCCATTGTGCATTAGATTTCTTTAATGCTTCATCCATGTCCTGTTTGGAACCAAGAATACCGTTTTCCCTCAACATTTTTTTAAAATTTTTTATTATAGTGTGTCTTCACAATAAAATATTAAAGCATCGTTCCTATGATTTTTACCTTGAGGAGATTTGAAAGATAATATTCCCTGGGATAGACGCCTTTCCAGTCATAGGTATCATCCCCTGGATGAGTGAAATACTTGTCCACAAATGGAGTTGTATCCACGAAGAAAAACTCTACAAATTCTGCCAAAGAAACATGACAAAAGTATTGTAACCATACTTAAAATCAAGGTGACAAATCCAACCTACTGATCAGTTGAATTATGGATTTAACAATTGACAATGATTCAGTTCCCTTTTTTTTTACCAGCTTTGAGAGTATATGATCTCAAGCAAAGCCATCTCTTGTCTTTTTGTCTAAGGATGTGACTCAATTGTGCTTCAACATCACCTCTATAGTCATGGTTCCCCAAAACTGACAAAAAACCCTTTTTCCAGTTAATTTTTTCAGCAAAAATGAAGAATAAATTAAGTAGATGTTATATGTGCATATACTTGAGTTTTTAGTTTGAGGAAAGTAGAAATTTGATTGAAGTTTTTATTCATTTACCATTGTACCATTGTTTGTTCAAACTTGGGGCTGTATAGATTGCGGTGAATGACTCATTGAAAGCTGGATCATCAACTCCAGTCAGGCCATCTTCATAGAAGTTATCCCCTGTTGAAATCACAAAATCTATGTCTAGTTTCTGACCCACCGATCCCATCTACAAATACCCAAAAAAATTGGGGGTAAAAAAAAAAAATACAACTAGCATTTTTCATATTACATATGAAATTAAAAAAAAAAAATTAGGTGACAAATTTGTTTTGGGAATAATAATTTTAATTACTCTTAGTGGGTTGATTTTCTATATTAATCAAGAATTATATGGTCATGATTTCCTTTGATGATATTTTCAATGAAAGAATCTATGCATGGAATCATCTGCCGCCATTAGACCTCTATATTTCAGACTGCTTTCAAATGGCAGACGAATGATCCAGTGGAAGCCATTTTTGAGGCAAATATAAGGAGTTGCCGTCGACACATATAGGCCGGTTGGCCTTAATTATAGGTTTTTGCTGGCATGATCCAACCCATGCTTTGGGAATGCCTATATTTTACTTTTTCCTTTTCCATAAATTTACTCACAAATCTTTCCAATCAACTGCTAGTCTAAAACCTTAACTATATAAGCTTCATTTGAACAATTTTTTTTTTATTTTTTAATTAAAATTTAAATTTAAAATCCTTAATTTTGAAACTGATTTTAATACACTAAATTAATAGTTTATTGGTTAAACAAAATCTCCAGTGTAGGAGATGAGTTTTTTTTATTTAATAAAAATAGCTTAACACGTATACCATTTTTTTTCCAAAATCAATTTGAAATTTTAGCTATAGATATTCCATGGTAAACAAATTGTTTTCTTACAATGGAATTAAACATAAACAACTAACTTGGTAAGCATTATTACCATAGCAAAGTTTTACATTCAATAGTTGGCAAAATAAAAAACGAATCATACAGAAAGACATGTTTATATATATAAAACATTTGTTATATCGAATGCATTATTGTTAATTAAATTAGAAAAAAAAAATCACATGAATCATGAAAGAAGATAGCTACAATTGAAACTGACCTGAAATGCAACTTCAGATTGATTGTATCGTCCTTTTCTTCCCCAGTCTCCAACCACCAAAATGTTGAGAGACCCATCAGGTTTTACCGGATGCTGAAAATGCTGGAGCTCGGCCAAGGAAGAAACCGATGACAGCCATATCCAAGCACTGATCAGGAGAAGAGAGGTATGAATGGTTTTATCAGACGATAGAGAAGCCATTAATGTTGAAGAAAAGGAAGAATTGTTTGTATTATTAATCGCTGACCAACATTGTTGACAATACAAGGCAAAACTTTTATAGCCTGCTAAATTTCGTGACTACAACAGTTACTTGAGAAAGTTGGCTTCTTTAACTCAAAAGTTGATACAACTAAATATGCTTTTTTTTTTAATATAAATAAGGCGTAAAGAGATTATAAATGTTGAATTTAAAATTTAAATTTATTAAGTATTACCTTTTAAATATATAATTATATGAATTAATTAAATTAAACTCAATTTAAATATGCCTTTAAATATACAAAATTATTACGCTAAGACATGGTCCACATTTATCTTGCAGAAACAAGAAGGAAAGAATCCGAATAATGCTTAAAACACAAACGTTTTGACTTGATGAAAGGTTCTCAACTACCCCAAGTATTTGCTTCCAAGAGATGGAAGGTTAATCAGACAAACGGAAATTTAAATATTTAAAGAATATAATATTTGGATATAAATTAATTATATTTTTAAGCTTAAAATGTACTGTAATGAACCCTAAACCTGGTCTCAGTTGTCCCTTTCGTAGTAAAGAAATTGCAATTATTTAACTGTTAGACATAATCTCTATGGGTTAAGGAAAAAGAATTCATTTTTGATATATTGATAATAGAAAATTTTTACAAGTGGAATTAAAAAATTATCATATGTTTTATTATTTTAATTAATTTATTATATTTTAAAATTATATGTCATTTTATTAATCTGATTGTCGGTAAATGTGATAATTTCTCATTTAATTATTTAAGTGTTTTTATTTTTTATACGAATTTGCAAGGTAAAAAAAGAAGGGATTGAAATCTTGCACTTTGAGCCTCCACTTAAAACAATAAATATTAATTTTTTACTTAGTTCCCTACCCCCCTTTGCCCCTCCCCAGATGGTTCAATTGCTTCCTTTTGTTTGTGTTCATATAAATTAATTATAATTCTTTTTTATTATATAAATCTTTGTACGTAGTCATTCAATCTCAATTATAAAATTGCATAATGATTCAGATAAATTTTATATAAGGTTTGTCTGGACCTTGTACTCATGAATGATCGAGCTTTATATAATTTTATATATTAATTGCAATAGAAGTTATCCTTCTGTTCTTATTCGACTTTTTATCTACTTTTGTAGGCGACAATTGCTTTAGGGTGTGAATAGCTCTCCATTTTCATGTTGAAAAGGGAATATGATTTAAGATTTTTTTTAAAAAATTTACAACATACCTAATTAAATTAGCTTTATTCACTTTATTGAACTTTTATATATTATTCAAGTTTTGTCTTGAGCTGGGAAAAGAGTTAATGCTTGTGTCGTAACATATTTAGAGTCGTCGGATGAATTTAGAAATGAAAAGAAAAAAACGAAAAATTGAGTTGTTATCAAATTTTTTTGATTACATGTGATTAGTCATTTATTAAAATATATTTATTTAATAAAATTTTAAAATTAATTAAAATTTATTAAAAAAATTATTTTAAAGTTTACAAAATATTTTGGATCCAAGAATCGATTATGTGTGAAAAAAATTAACATTTTTATAGTGCTAATTAAAAATGATATCAATTAATTACGTATCATCCATTAATATTGACAAAAAAGTCTTTGACTTCCTTTGTTTATTGTAGTTTTGGTTTTTTCTTTATCTTTATTTTATATTTATTGTTTCATTTTTATTCGAAAAAAATAAATTAGAATTATTTTATTGAAATAACTTTTAAAATGTTTTAGTACGTTAATAACATTAAAAGAATTTTTTCTCATCTAAAAATTTCTTAAGTATTACTTCTCGAAATACTTTAAAATCTCATCCTTAAAGCTCGTATTTACTTTTCGTAAAAACGAAATCATGCATGCAATATGAATGGCAATATATTGATGTACGTGTTTTATTTCATTTTTAAAAAATATTTTTTATTTTTAATGTTATTGTATTGAAGAAATTTTTTTTTATTATATTGAAAAGTTTTTATAAATACTCAAATACATTGGTAGTATTTAAAGAAAATCTTTTCACTTAAAGATTTTGTAAAATGTCACTACTCGAAATACTTTAGAATCTCATCATCGAATAAAATTTTTTTCCTCATTTTTATTATTTTTAATAAATTAATTAATTTTTATTTTTATTTTATAGCAAAAAGGAAAGTTTTTTGTTGTATTAAAAATTTTTTATAAATGCTCTAATACGTTGATAGTATTTAAAAAAATCTTCTTACTTAGAGATTTCATAGATATCACTACTCAGAATACTTTAGAATCTTATTATTGGATAAAAATTTCATTTTTTACACTTTTTAATTATTTTTTTATCAATTTTATTATTTTATTATTTTTACTATTTTTATTAATTTTTTTTAAAAAATTCTTTTGGTTATTTTTTCTATTTTTTTTTAATTTTAAAAATTATCAAATGTTAGACACCATTATTATTATTATTATTATTATTATCATAATCATTAATTATTAATTATTTTTTATTATTATTATTTTATAAGGTTTATTCCAAATTTTAACAAAACTATAAAAAATTTTAACTATATATTTCATTATTTATTTTTATTATTTTGTTTACATTTTTACTAAAAAAACAACAAAAATTTATTCTAATAAATTGAAACATTTTAATATGCATAAATACTAATGATAAAATTTAAAATAACAAAATAATATTAAAAAGTAATTCAAAAAATTCAAAAAAATTTTTTTTTACTTAAATTGGACCAGTCAATGGTTTGATCAACACTGATCTGGGTCAGTCAATGCAGGCTTAGAGCTGATTCAATTGGATCAATCTACGCTGAAAGAAGAGCTGGGTTTCGTGTTGGGCGCATGAACCCATGGGCGCACGATCCCAAGGTCAGATTGTTGGGTCACGTGTGGATCTTGGCCTCTTAAAACGATGTCATTTTGTTGTTTTTTCTGTAAAATCCAAAAAAAAATTTTTGTTATTCATAAAAGGCTTCTTTTTTTAAATCGAGGGCTTCTCGACTGGTCATTAGTGATCCTCAATGATGGTCAAAAAGTTCCTAAAAATGCCAAACGTTTCCTCTTCCTCTATTCTTTTTAAATCCAAACTCACTTTCACTAAAAAATTTCCCAAACTTTCTAAATCTACTATTTAAACTTTTGCCTAAAACTCTTTTTTTATGGATTTTTTTTGATGAATTGGTGTTGGGTTCCCTGCTTCTAAAGGATTAATTTTTGTGTTTTAGTTTTTTTTTTTTTTTTTGTGTTGGTAGCAAGTTTCCTTCTTTTTTCTTTTTAGGTATGTTGGTAGGGTTTTTTTTTTTTTTTGTAAGGGTTTTTTTTTTTTGCAAGATTTTTTGGCTTTCTTGGTGGTTTTTTTTTTTTTGGTAGAGTCCTCCTTTTTGGTGGCTTTTTGGTTTCTCTAGTAAGGTTTCTAAGTAGGAGTGTAAATGATACATTAGTACTCGTAAGCTATTCGGATTCGATTTGATTAAAACTCGAATTCGATTCGATAATTGTCGAGCTGAGTTCGAGCTCGAGTAGCTTGACTTATTAAATGAGTCGAGTTTGAGTATATTAGTATCCAGCTCAAATAGCTCGCGAGTCTAGTCGAACTTTTTTATTATATATATTTTTATTATTTTATTTATAAAATTACCATCTTACCCTTAACCTAAAAAACCCTAAACTTTTATTTTCTTCTTTCCTTTTTTCCCCTGTCTCTCTCATCTCACCAGTCACCAACTGCGATGCCCTTTCTTTCCACTACAATCCTTTCAATCCTTTCGATCTTATTAGTATTTCCATTTTATTCCTCTTACTAGTTGGATCGGAGCCGACACCCGGTTACGAGAACAGTAAGAGCAGATTATAGTTGAGTAAGAGTTCCGATTTGATGGAATGGCCCACTTGGCTCAATAGCCGGAGATGAAATAGCAGCTTATTCTTTCACAACAGCAACCTATTTTTACACAACTTATTCTTGCAGCGGCTACGCACCTAACAACGAATTCTCAAGTTTGTCTCACATGACTCGAACTATTTCTCTATCGAAGAATTGATCAGTATCTTAATCATTCGATTTATTACTTCTATTAATTAATATAATTCTCGACTTAAAAACTTTAAAATACCTAAAGGATTTGCTAGTGCGATTAGAGTTAAGGTTTAAAGAGAGGCTTGAATCAAATTCTGAGATAAGTTTTAGGTATATGATCTTTTATCTCCTGTTTGTCTATTGAGAAAATGTGAAAAAATGAAAAATAAACAAGAAAATGTTTGTTTTTCTTTGCATAATTTTGTTTTGCATGTAAGAAATTTCTATCTCTGAGTCATATATTTTCTTTCTGTTTTAGTTTCACTTTTTTTTTTTGGTGGAGTCTTTCTTTTGAATTGATTATTGTTTTTGTTATTCATTTGATGACTGTAGACACCCAATTGGGTCCGGGCCCAGATCAATTGGGCCTGGCCCAAACGGGTAAGGCCCAATTCAATCTTGTATTTTTTTTTTCTTCTTTTGTATTTTATTATTATTATTATTATGTATATATTTATTTATTTTTTTATTAGATTAGATTTATATGTATATAGTTGTATATTTATTATTATTATTATTTTTTTGTAATATATACTTGGGTTTATCTTATTTTATTATTATTATTATTATTATTATTATTTTTAATTATCTGTTCTGATTTTTTTCTGATTATCAGATATATATATATATTTTTTAAATATCTTTTGATTTATCTGATTATTATCTAGTATTTTTTTATTTTTGATTTTGGAGGGCTAAGATTGAAGCTGAAGAATCCTACTGGGAGTGGGGATTCAATCTAAAGAGTCCAATTGGATTCAAAGACTGAATCCCCGTCCAAGGAGGAGTTGGGATTGATCAGAAACTCCTGATCAATCCCTATAAAAGGCACCCCCTGGAACAGTTCAAGAACACACAGAAAACAGTAAGCAAAGCTACTGATTTGAGAGAAAAGGAGGCGTATAGGAAGCTAGGAAAAGTTTAGGAGTGGTCTGGGAGTGAGAAAAAA